CAAATTCTGGCCTGCTGCAATAACTTATATATTGTGGGATGTTATCGCATGAAGATTGATATTACAGCGCACCTTACGCAATCTCGGAGACGCAAATCAAATTTCGGATACCATTATATTAGGTTCTTCCCAGTCCATGAGTATTCCGTTTTATAGAACCGAAGGTTGCGTGTTCCTATAATTAGCACTGACATAATCTTTATTCGTAAAAATAAGGCGGCAAATCGAACCTAATTGATTCATTTACGCATTTTATTTTAACCACATAAAAATCACGTGTATAGGACGCACTCTATTTTAAGGCGGTTAATCATTGTCTGGCATTTTTAATCTTTTTGTTCTTTTGTTTTCCACAGTAAGACTATATGCATTTTAGCGATTCTTTCTTTGAAGTAATTTATTGGTTAGAAAACATTGTCACGCAAGACCATAGTAAATTATTTAGCTATTAAGAACTCATTAGCGGGGTTTTAGCATCGCTGAAACCGAAATATTATCATAATTTCGTTAATAGATCACTACGCGCACAAATTGCGAATAAAAAAACCTAGACATCGCATAAAGGTATGACACTTCAAATGAATGTCTTTAGACGTCTTTTGTATAATAGAAACCATCCAGATCAATTCTTACTTTACTGAAACAGAATATTTAGTTGACAAAACGCAATATTCAAATATATGATGTTTTGCTAGTTGTATAATATTGTTAATAAAACGTTTTGTTTTTTCTCAGTTTATACAGTTTACTAATGCGTTAAACTGTCATAATGCTGGTATTGTTATAACTGAAAGCAGTTAATAAGCATAGATCTGGTAAACTGCTCCTGTAGAGCAAGATACATTGGCAGTGGCCAATTGGCGCTCATGTCAGACAGTTATTGATTTTTCTACATATTCAAATTTTTATTTTTCTGAAGGGCCTTTATTTTCCCCTGCAAATGTTTGGCCTGATGATGAGTTGCTGACGACATATGTTTGCCAGACACTGACTTCAAAAAACACGGTTCTTCTGTATGCATAATGATAACCTCTAGGTCTTCTTAATGAATAATTATTTTCCTTAAACATATTCTTTTAGGAAATAGAATAAAATTTTTTTATTATATCACATTTCTTTCCCAGTTAGAAGGTTTTTTGGCACCTGACTTTCAAGAGAACATTTTCCGCTCTCACTTCCTGATAGGTATTGTTACAAACGCGACAGTTTATCAGATATATCGGTGTCTTTGTCTTCTTTATATTAAGAAAGGTCCGGATATAAAAAAGATAAAACCCGTGCCGAAAAATTCTAGATGTTTGGTGAGTCACGCCTAATTTCTGTTAATAGAAGTCTGTTGATAGAATTCTATATTTGACGTCTGTCTAAATCTTCAGTTAAAAGATCTCATTTCTTTTTGAACGCATAAAACCTTTAAGAAGATTCCCTACTTTTTATGAGAATATTTTGTTCTCCAGACCTTTCTCTCGGGAATACGCTGTGTGTATTCCGTGAACCTTTACTCCATGGCTGAAAACGTCAATAATTTATATCTCAGATTAATTCATTGCTTCAAATGGACAGATGAAATAGAAACACGAGTAAAGACTACATATTTCTATACAATATTGTATACAATGTATCGAGACACGTTTTCC